CTTGCTAGCCGTATAAGAGGCTTGAGCGGTTTCCGCCCAAGTTGGAGGACTCCACAACCATCTCATGGAGGAGGAGGACTTCACGTCTCGTGAAGAACTCTAAGTGCTGCAGAGCCTAATGGACCCAGCGTGCGCCTTAAGAAGGCTATAGGGGTCTGATCAACCTCTGGCCTCTCCCCATCGCCGAGCGCGATCCCTCGATGAACCCCTTCCCTGCGCGCTTGTTCCACGGAGCCTAGCAAGCTTCGTGAGTGTGTGTATCCAGAGCTCTGTCCGAGTTATTTCAAGAGGCTCGAGTTTTCTGCGGGTCTTGTTCGAGTTCGTGTTGTGGAGCCTAGCCAACTCCATGTGTCTGTCTGTAACTGCAACGCAAGCAAGTTTTCCTGCCTGCACCGCGACCATCTACAGTGTAAGTAAAATAATCTTTAATCAACCGCTACGTGTCCGTGCCTAATTCTAGTCCACCGGCCTGCATTCCCCGACCTGCGTGCCAGGGCTGCTGGCCACAGCCTGCACCGCGCGCCCCCGAAGGCCTCAGACTGCTCCCGGCCCACACAACAAGCAGCAAAGGTGACCAATCCCTGATTGCTTCAGTCCTTGTGCTACAGTCTGCTGCTGTCTTCTCTGGAGCTCCTTTCCCCTTTGAAGCTGGCTCCAGACTGTCCTCTGCCTCAGAAGTCTGGCCTATATGGCAGCTAAGCTCTGTCCCTTTCAGCTAATGTGCAAAACAGGGTTGTTTGTTAAGGCACTGAGCCCTTTTTCCACCCTCATCTTCAGTAACTGGGTAGGGGCCCTGTTATATATCTTGCTTGGTTCTGTCTCATCCTATTGCTGATCCTTCCAGGTCAGTGTTTGCAAGGCAACTGTTAGAAAACAGCATGTGGCTTGTCTATTCAGTACCTGTTCTTTGCATTAAAAGCAAATTTCAATCTCAAGCTGCAATTAATTGAGTGACTACAGCAACTAATTCAGTTTAAATAGCAAAGCAGTTAATATATTCCGTGCAGTAGCAAATAAATTAAGTCCTTTATGTAGTACACAGTGGGGGCATCTACACAAGACACTTTACTGTGGAGTTGACTAATTAGTTCTGTAGTAAAGCGTAACCGTCTACACATGAGGAGCTATTAGGCCGGAGAAAAATAATTAACTCTGCTATAGGTTAATACTGTTGGACACAAGTACTATTCTATAGCAGAATTATTTAGTGAGTCCCAAAGTACATGTAGATGGTGACCGGGGCTGGCTGGGTCCTATAGTGTGGGGGCTGCCTGCCAACCATCCCCACACTGGAGCACCGTCATGCTCCAGCCAGCCTCTCTGCAGCATGTTGAACCAGGGCCCTCCCTCCCCCGCTCTTTCAGTCCTCCTACCAGCTAGGGCTGTGTTGCCCTGGCTCACCATGTTATGGTCCCAGGGACGTGTAAACGCCGTGCCTGGGAGCAATACACTCCAGCACAAACTGCAAACTATGCCAGAGCGTATTGTGTCACACTAGTTTCATGTGTGGATGCACCTACTAACCATGTGAAAGAGATTAAAACAACTGAAAATCTCCCAATCTATTTAATTCTTTTTTATCATTGTTAAAACTGAGTGGAAGTACAAATGATATACTTAAACACAGCTGAAACATTGTGCTATGAAATATATCAGTAAAATTTTAAGTCTAGCTCTCATGCCATTTACTCATGATACTTTAACCTCTAATGCTTTTGAGTTAAAATCAATTAAGACCACAGCTTTATAGGCTTATTCAAAGCAGATTAAGTATCTATCAATATGTATACCATTTGAATATCTGGTGGCCCCTACATGTGCTCCTATGGTGCCGTTGTGATGCACCATCATTTAGTACTTCTGTTACTGTACCGTGCCAGAGGCACATGGTTATTTTTAGTGCCTACGTCACCGTAGCGACTTGCTATACTGAGGGAACACATCACTGTGGCAACGTAGCTGCGGCATCACGGTTTGTGCCCACCGACACTATGTCGCCATAGTGCATTGCTATGGCAATGTAGCATCACATGTAGATTCACCCAGTATCTCTCAAGAATAAGACTGTCATGAGAATCATGAGAGTCAAGCAAACCATGGAGTTTCTGGCACTTCTTCCATTAACACTCAAAACTACAACATGCTTTCTTGTGGTGTTTTAATAGTTTTAGATGGAAGCCAAAAATACATAAAATGAAAAAAATATATTGCCCCTCCAGCTGAATATTTCAGCCCTACTTAAACATTCTTGCTGGAATAAGAAATGAAGTAAATACTAAAGGATCTTAGGAGTACGTGAGATGTAATATTTTATATTTTTCATGTTTGTAGTACCCGGTGAGACACAGTGAATGAGGAATAGAAGTGCTGTATCTCTAACTGCTTCCATGGTGGATCTTAATGAACTATCAATGCTACACTGAACAAGCTATTGAATAAGACTGTGCTATTGGTTTTATCAAAGCTGGTAATATTCAGCACAAAGGTCTTACTATATTACTTGCTTCTGTATCATATTAATTGCTTTCTTATCATATTAGCCAACTCTCCTTTTCCTAATACCATATGAAAGTCAATAATATGTTAAAAAGCTGATAATACTTTAAGACTTATTAGCAACTTCCATGAGATTAGTGTATTTCATTTTCATGTACATGGAAAAGCTCTCAGATCATATGCAGTAAAGTACCTTTTATATTATATTAGTTGAAATGAAATTCATTAAGACAAAAGGGAAGCAAACAATATAATACAAAAGATTCATTGTGCAAGTAACTTTCTAAATATACATTTTTATGTTTTGCTACAGTAGATCATAGATCAATTGTTTTCTACTGGCAATGTGCCCTCATATCATTAAAAGAGCAGATACATGAACAAGTTCCATTTAGCAATACTGCAATGGGCACTCCAATTTTCTTCTCTCCACAGACTGACTACTACATTAATTCAATTATCTGGAATGCAATGATCATGCACAGGTGAGATAACTGTAGTAGCAGGAGACCAGACCGTTCAGCTCTTTAGCATCATCTGCAGATTGCTACCCTTTGGGAATCCATGACTAGTTTAGCAAGAGGGTCTATACTTTCTATGTATGCTCTCCTTAGTATTTGGAAAAGAAATGGGGCTCCTGCTTGCCCTTCAGATTTAGACCCAAAAATAGCTTTAGGGATGGGTTCGTCATATGGATAAAAAGAATAGTCTAAGCTAATACAGTAAATATTAAAAAATATACAAGAATTCTGGGAAAAAGCAAATTATGATACCTCAACTTTTGGGAAATTAGAAGAAAACTGACCAGCAAATAGGTTACCCCATAGCTGCCTACATCATTTTGTGAAGCAGCTTCTACTCATCCCTGTCAGTCACAGGATATAATGTGCACAGGTCTATCCTAGTATGGTAATTCCCTTTTTGTTTAATGAAGGCTAGCTACCATGGCACAGCTGCCCTTATAGATGCTATTATTCTGCTCTAAGACTGTCCTTGTTTGATTTACCTTAATCCCCTTTAGAAAAAAATACTCTTATTGTGAAGCAAGAGTGTCTACCTGGGGAGCTACTGTAAAATACCTCTTGTTTTTTTCTTGTGTACACCAAAATGTTTGAAATGACGCTCCTGTATAGACAAGCCTGTGGTCAATATACATTTTTTTCAAATCTAGAGCCCAGAGTGTTACCAACAGTTTGTTGCCATTAAGAACAATAAGAGATTTAGTAGCAGGGGCTACTATGTATGGGGCTGCTACTTCCTTCTGCTTAGATACAGAATGAACAAGTAGATCAGAGCATAATCAGAGTCTTTGCTTTGCCAGCTGTATAGAGTGAGCACAGCAGAATTGTCCTAGCACACAATGTGAAGTAATTATTGCTATGTCCAGGGCCAACAAATAACTTAGCTTCTTTCTTGAGCAAGATGGGAAAACAAGGAGAAAACTGTGATTTTCACAGTCATATTCTGGTCTCTGACCTGTTCCTAAGTAGCGTGTTATGCACACAACCCATTTCTTAAGTCTGGTGGCAAAACCTCACTACTGTCCTAAGGATTTTTTTCCTGCAACTTCTAAATAGTATCAGAGGAACAACACTGAAAGTCAAGTTACAGGCTTGGCAATTGTGACAATGACCCATGATCTAACTTTATAGCTTCTAAATTTGTATCATTTCTTTTTTTAGTCTTCCATGTTCACAGAACTTCTCTCTAACACACTTTTTTCCTCCAGACTATATTTAGCACAGGACAGATAAATCTTTACAGGTAGGAAACCGTTTATGATTCTCTCTCCCTTGCTACCTAACATTTGTGTATAAGTAAAATACAAGTTGGCAGAAACACACAATTCTTATGTGTGACATGCACTATAAACAGTGCCAAAAAACTAAACCTTAGCATCTAAAGCATAAAAAAGCTTATAATGCCTCTTCTGTCTCCAGGTGAACTGTGCCTGTTTACACTGGCTTTAAATGTCTTTTCTCTTCTTACCAAACAGTATACCTTAAATAGAAAACACTCCAGGAAATGACTTTCCCATTCAATTAAATTTCTTCCCTATTGCCAGTCTGCTGCTTCTACAGTTATAAAATCTGGAGATTAGAAAACAAACAAACTAAACCCCTTCTTTTTCTCTCTCTGATTTCTCCAAATCCTAGCACTATCATTCCTCAGACTCTCAGGTACAGCAAGCAGATTTCCCTGCTCACCCCCTCCACACACACACTCACAAACATTATTTTATGGAAAATAAGCATGCAGAATCAAAGAATAATGATACATATTCTTTCTACTCTGGTCTAGAAATATTTATCATGCATATAAGCTGTAAGGACATCCATTAAATTAACCTGGGTGGTTTATTCTGATTCTATATAAAGGTAATATAAACTTGTAGCTCAAGAATTATCTTTAAAATTTGATTTTTTTTTTAAATATTGAAAACAAATTTGAACCTTTGTTACCAGTTGTTTTAAATTGTTAATCAATAGAAGACTAAAACTTACTCTGCTGTACATTTATGAGAACATCCCTGTTTAGGAAACCACTGAAACAGACATAAGGTGGAAGACAGGGTAGAGGGGCACCATCCTCCAGGCACATGGAACAGAGTAAGGGCAGCAGGATTGCTGCTGGTGCCTGATGATCATTGCCAAGAACCAAATTAGCCCTTTCCTGGCAGCTGCTGCTGATTGTTGCCAAGAACCATATTAACCCTTTCCTTTCCTGTGGCTGCTGCTGAACTCAGGGCTTTGTATTCCTTCCCTGCCATATAAAACTGCCATGGTTGCAAAACCACTTGGCAATGACACACGTGTCTCTGCAGTGTCCTGCCCCTGCTCCATTTCACACAGCTGGAGTCCAGTCTTTCTGCCTCCATTTCAGAGCTCAAGGGAGCGAATTATATGAGGTACACCTCAGGTGGAGGTGGGAGGGTGTTGGAATCAGAGCAGTAGTTGAGGAGGGAAGGGGACTTCACTTGCAGCATGCCTGCCAAAAAGGCTGGTGATCATTGTTCTTTACAATGCCAATTATGCAGTCTAAGAACTTGTCCTCATTGAAATATCTAGCTTGAGTTAGTGAACTCTGAAAATCTAGTCAGCCTATACTATTAATTAAATCTCTTTGTATAGTGCAAGTGTCATCTTGCAGTGTGGTTCCTTCGCACTCAAATTAGGCTGGATGTCACATATCCCAGGAGAATGTCCTAAACACTGGGCTCAAGACCTGGTCTCTGTCTTGCTCTCTGAATCTTTCCTGTGGGAGTTGTTCCACTTTGTGTAACTAATTACTGATGAAGCCACAGGAAAAAAAAAAGACTGTGCCTCTGCATTCTAGTTATGAAGGCATTCCATTTGTGATAAGGAAAACCAAATTCTAGTCCCTGCTCCAAAGCAGACTTAATTATTTATGCAAAGTAGAGGAGCACCAACAACAGAGATGGAGAGACCCACACTCCAGAATAACCTCTAGCTTGGAAGTTAGGAGTCTCTTGGCCAGGCTCTTGGCTCCTGGATCTCCCACCTTCCATGAAAGGTGCCTAAAGAACACTTCTGTCCAAATGAGACATTTTTTGAAACTCCAAACATTTTCATAGGCCAGGAGAACTCACTCATGCCCAAATTGAGACTTTTTAAACTGGTTTGGCTTCCAGTAAAGTTAAGAAACTCTGTTATTTGCTTGCCATTGCCATTTAGCAAGAGAATTTCTCCCTTTTCAGTTTGCATGTCTACTTGAGCCAAAATTATAGAGGTAATGCTATGCCAAGGTCCTAGCTTGTCCCTTTGAGCAAGACGGATGCCAAAGCATTGAGGCTGACTATACACATCTGAAAAGATAAATGTATTAACTGATATTTAAGGTCACTGTGACTGCCAAGAAACAATGTTAGAAAATTTTCACTACTCTGACTCTTCCTTGGCTTGTCTTCATACCTGGACACACAGCCAAGCCAGTCACAGGTGCTGAACTCCCGCCTAACTCAAACTTTCATTATTTTCCCCACCACCACTTTACATCCTAGCCAAGGAGGTAAAACTGCCAATTCTTTGGCTGGCACTAACATGGCTTCTTAATTGGCCACCAAGGGTGTAAGGTAGCAACAAAGTAATACCCTTCTCCCTCACTGCCCCAAATAGAGAACTGAGTATTTGTTGACAAAATTTGACTTTGAGTTTCAGAATGTTTTCATTTCTTAGCTGGCAACATATTAGTAAAAATGTGTTACCATACAAATCATTAAACCAGGCAAGGATTTTTGTCCATTTTTAAAATTATTTATATCAAATCTAACAGCTTAGTTGTATTCGTATAGCTAGGATTAACCCAGACAAACACAAGCTTTAAATGTATAACATCCTTTTCCACCATTTTCTGAAGGCTTGAAGGTCAAAAACCTGGCTTGAAGGTCAAAAACTAATAAGTAGGTAAACTAGAAAGTGGATGAGTTCCAAGTCAAAGTTGTTCCCTCTCATAAAATGCCTGCCAGCAGCTTCCTGCTTAAACCAGTGAGGCTCCAACTTGAATACTGGCTCAGAATATCACAATGGCTCTATCAGACAGACAGGTGATCTCACATACAATAGCCATTTAGGGCCAGATTTTTAAAATGTTTAGGTGACAAACTCCAACTGAAACCCTAGGAGTTTGGCACCTAAATACTTTTAGAAATATGGACCTTAGAGATTCAAGGATGAGAATCATCCCACTAAGCTGTCCCAGGAAAATAGCCCCTGCCTACCACTGCTACCCCACAGCTGCCTAAGTGCCATCTCCCCACCCATTATGCTTATCACCTTTCTGTCACTTGTTTTCTTCTGTTGGTCTCCATCTGTATCTTTCTACCTTTACTTACCTTCCTCCCTTCTTACTGTTGCTTTCCTGCAATGTCATAGATGCTACTGTCTTCCTTCAAAATATAATAAAAAGGAACCCAGAACCAAGTTTCTGGAACATACATACTTAAAAAAAAGTGACCAGGATACCTGCAGCAGTTATCATCAGGCCTTCTTTTTCTAACCTCCACCTTGTTTTTATCTTCTCATAAGTTTTTGAGACAGGCACCACACCTTATCGGGTGCATCCATACATGCAATTTATTACAGAGTAGACTAATTAGCTCCTCAATAAGCATCACCATTTACACATGTGCTGGTATTAGGGTGCAGTAAATTAATTTATTCTGTCATAAGCTAATACTGTCCTGGACAGTACTAGCTTACAGCAGAGCTAATTAACTTACAGTGTCCTAATCATTGTCAGCAACCCCTCACATTTGAGAATGATCACTCCCACTGGTCAACTAAAGGATAGTAGCTGAGTCCATTGATGGCTAAGAAGGCCAATCTTAGAGCCGCAGACTCTCTGGCAGACGCCACAGGTGGTGGTTAAAGGGAGGGTTAGACCACAGATTTCCTGGTCTTGTTTCCCTTCCTAATGTTTTTTGTTCTTTTTCTGCCTCCAGGGCAAGACAGTTTTCTTCAAAGTAAAATGTCTCTTATCTCCTCTCACAAGACGTTGCCATGTAGCCCTGTCATGGGTTAATTTTTCCCAATTTGAGATGCCAATGCCACACTTCTTTATTATCACTTTGAGGTGTTTTCTCTGCCCCGCACATGTCCTTTGTTCTTGGCTGAGTTGGGAATATAGCAGTTGTTTTGGTAAACATACATCAGGCATGTGCACACAATGCCCTGTTCACTGCAGCTGATGTTGAATAATCAACGCTTCCATACTGGTGGTGTTAGCATCAGTAAGGACACTGGAATTTGTGAGAAGATCCTCCCACCTTATGGGCCAAGTATCTAATGGAGGTTGCACTGGTGAAAGCTCCAACTTGAATACTGGCTCAGAATATCACAATGGCATTCCAAGCTTTTCAGGTGGTCCCTATAGGTTACCCAAGCTTCATAGTGATAGGGAAGGGTTGGGGTTACCACAGCCTTGTATAATAGGAGCTTTGTTCAAGTCCTGATGCCATGATTGTGAACATAGCATGATAGAGTCTTCTGAAGGCAAAGCTGGCACATCAAGGCTAGGGACAGACATTACACATAAACCAGTTTAAGTGATCAGAAACTGGTTTAAACCTGTAACAGAACAGATGTTCAGTGCACATAAACCAATTTGAAAATGGCTGAAAGTGGTTTGAGATAAACCTGGTTGAATGTAGCATCACACTTAACTGATTTGACTCAAACCGGTTTATGCAATGTCTGTTCCAGACCCCTTGCTGGTTTAAGATAAAACAGACACCCCCAGCATCCCTGCATGCTCTCAGGGATGGGCAGGGCTCTCTGCTCCACAGCAGGACTGGCCCTCCCCTCTACTCCCAGAGTGCAGCTCCAGCAGAGACTTTTAGGCACAGCAGCATCTGCCTGGCTTCCTCCTGCCTCACTCCCTCCCCTCACTACTCTCTGCTAAGCAGGGACCCCCATCCCCTCTGCCTTACACAGACACTTCAGCATTAAGCTAGCAAACCACATGCTGGCTATGGTCTGGAGCTAATCAACAGCTCAGCTGGTAAGGTCCCTCTGTTATTTCTTTGTTCAAGAAGAGTTTGAACTAATGAGAGAGGCTGTTTGTTTTATGATGGGGTGATAAATGCTGATAACACAGGTGATAAATGCTCTGTTATCCAGGAGATGGTGGGGGGACCCCTCCCTAATCCTGCTGGGGCTTGGCCACGCCACCCCCACAGCTCCCTGTGCAAGAGAAGGGAGGGCTGCTCTAGCACTGCCCAGTTTCTAGCCTGAACCACCGCAGGCATGTGCCTGCATTTCTGGGTTGTCTTTGCAGCTACAAAGTGATTCAGCCTAGCCAGGTTACACTAACCTGAAAAGATTGTATCAATCCAGGCTCAGGCTTTTTGAATGTCTGTCCCTGGCCCAGATGTTATACTGGATCTCCTCATCAATGTTGGCCTTCTTTGAAAGAGGGCTGCTGAGGTATGCAAAGTGTTCAAAGTTCTCCAACTACTATCTGTCAATGAGGATCTTTGCTGTGGTAGTTGATTGGCCCAGAACAGGCTGGTGAAGCACCTTTGCTTTTCTGATGTTAAGGGTCAGTCCCAGACACTGGTATGCTTGAGAGAAGCAGTTAAGGGCCATTTGTAGGTCCTCCTCACTGTGTGCAACAACAGCACAATTATCTGCATACTGAAGGTCCACAATCAAGGCTGGTGTTTTGGCATGGATGTGGGTGATATTGAAAAGATTCCCATTCATCTGGTACTTGATGCTGATGCCATGTGGCAGATGGTCATGGATGAGCATCTTGATGATCACAAGGAAGATGGAAAACACAGTTGGTGCGATCATACAGACCTGCTTGACACCAGTTCAAATGGCAAAGGACTCCATAGTAGAGCCATTACATAAGATGGAGACAGTCATCTGGTCATAAAGGATGGTGGTAAATTTCCCTGGGCAGCCAAACTTTGATAAGGTCTTCCATATAGCCTCATGGTTAACAGAGTCAGAGGCTTTGGTCAGATTGATAAAGGCCATATACAATTCCTGGGGTTGTTCTTGGCATTTCCTGGATTGACCAGACCACAAAAAAACATGTTCATGATGTTTCTCAATGATCTGATGCCACACTGAGAC